TGTGTGTGTGTGTGTGTGTGTGTGTGTGTGTGTGTGTGTGTGTGTGTGTGTGTGTAATAACAGGTACGTCCACCAGCTCTATATTCTGGTCAACTGTTTCCTCAGACCTCTGAGGATGGCTGCTAGTTCCAAAAAACCCCCCATCAGCCATGATGATGTGAGCAGCATTTTTCTCAACAGGTGAGTCTGTCGTCAGTGTTCAATAAGTAAAAGTATCAAATGTTGTCATCATAGAGGATATATCAAAAGTCAGTCACAGAGGAACGAGCTGAAACACATTATGTGGTTTAAAAACTGAAATCAAATCTTTTTTCTTGTCTATTTCCTGCTGTGTTTACAACGTGTCTCCAGTGAGACCATCATGTTCCTACATGAGATTTTCCATCAAGGCCTGAAGGCGAGGATAGCCAACTGGCCAACGCTGGTGCTGGGTAAGCTGTTAGCTCACAGGACACACTCACACATGTTGGTTTTTCTATCCTACTGGGAACTTTGCATTGACTTCCATTCATTTTCAGTCATTTCTACATTCTAACCCTGATACTTTACCCTAAACCTGACCAACCCTGTACATACCTGACCCTGAATCTAACCTAAACTTATCACCGTCCGTCTGTCCATTTTCTTTCGCTTATCCGGGGTCGGGTCGCAGGGGCAGCAGCCTAAGCAGAGAGACCCAGACTTCCCTCTCCCCAGCCACTTGGACCAGCTCGTCTGGGGGAACTCCAAGGTGTTCCCAGACCAGCTGAGAAACATAGTCCCTCCAGCGTGTCCTGGGTCTTCCTCTGGACATCCTCTCAGTGGGACGTGCCCGGAACACCTCACCAGGGAGGCGTCCAGGAGGCATCCTAACCAGATGAACCACCTCAACTGTCTCCTCTCAACGTGGAGGAGCAGCGGCTCTACTCTGAGTCCCTCCTGGATGACTGAGTGCCTCACCCTATCCCTAAGAGAGTGCCCAGACACCCTGCGAAGGAAACTCATTTCGGCTGCTTGTATCCGCGATTTTCTTCTTTCGGTCACTACCCAAAGCTCGTGGCCATAGATGAGGGTAGGAACGTAGACCGACTGGTAAATCGAGAGCTTTGCCTTCTGGCTCAGCTCTCGCTTCACCACGACAGACCGGTACAGCGTTCGCATCACTGCAGACACAGCACCAATCTGCCTGTCGATCTCCCGCTCCATTCTTCCCTCATTTGTGGACAAGACCCCGAGACACAAACTCCTCCACTTGGGGCAGGACCTCCTCCCCGACGCAGAGACGGCACGCTACCGTTTTTCCAGCTCAAGACCATGGTCTCAGATTTGGAGGCACTAATCCTCATCCCGGCCGCTTCACACTTGGCTGCGAACCGCTCCAGTGAGAGCTGGGGATCATCAACGATAAACTGAACACCTTGGTCCTAAACCCAACCCCCCACCCCCCACCCAAACTCAGCATCCTTAACTGTGGGGACCAGGCTTTGACCACCATGAGGAGCACTGGGTCTCCACAAAGCTGTGAATTTAGGAAAATGGTCCCCATGATGTAGCAAAACACACACACACACACACACACACACACACACACACACACAC